TCAATCCCCCAGTCCTCAATCTTCCCCCAGCCCATAGACCACCCGCTCCACCGAACTCCTTCCCTGAACCATGATTTTTGTCTTCACAGCTACCACCGACACCATTATCTTCTCCTTCCAAACCCTCTCTAACCACTTTATTTCCCAAGCTCGCATTCCAAAACCACTCACCACCATCTACTTTTCTCTTCAACCTCTTACTCCTCTCCCTATGTCCACTTCCCTTGTGATTCGGATCACCACCATTTGCACTCTCAACCTCCACAGCCTGAAAACTTCTCTTGCAACTAGGGCATACCAAATTATGCCCCAAATACTTCTTGTCAAACTGATGCAGTAACCTACACCTCGAACAAGCGGTCCAAAACGTCTCCACCACGGTCGTCTCAACCTCATTAACTCTCTCCTCCTGCATCCTAATCCTAAGTATCATATCATATTCTTTCCTCTTAATTCTATCCGACAAAACCCCAAAACCCTCCCCCACAAGTTTAAATGCCTCTTCGCATCCTAGGTGTGGATTTTTATCAGGGTGCAAGACCAACGCAAGTTTCTTATACTGTTTCTTAATCGTATTAATGTGAGAGAAGGGCTCTACTTGGAGAATCTTGTACCAATCGCATGCTGTTCCAACAGCAGCTTTTGAGGCGACGTAAAGGATCTTGAAGGCTGTGAGCATTGAAGATAAGCCCCCCATGTTTGGGGAGATGCGGTGGGCTTTCTTCACATGCTTTAGAGCTGACTTGAAGTTTGAGTCCTTGAATTTGACTTCTGCTAGGGTTTTGTTGCGTGTTGCCTCTTCCAGTTGGTCCGGGTCTGAGCTTGCTGCCACTTTTGAGAGAAAAGCAACAGTTTCTGGAGACGAGATATTGAGGGGACAACAGATCCCATCATGCGAGTCCTGATAGCAGCTTGTTGATGAAGAAAATGACCATTTGACAGTTCAAAAGCAACAAAGGGAACATCATATCCAAAACAATTATCAAGAAAGAAAAGAAAAGAAAAGAGCAAATCAGTTCATATGACCCATTCACATTTGAAGTGGATCACTTTCCTAAGAATGTAAGAAGATAAAACGGTAACAAGCCTGTCTTTAAACCTCATTTGTTGAAAGAGAAAACCCACCTTTAGTCGGCGCTGATCTTGTACAATTTGTTTAGCACGGGCTCGAACCTCTTCTGGGTCAATCTTGGACTGGGGACGCACAACAAAGTCCATTGGTGTTGCCTCTGGCCTTGTGGCATGTTGCCTAGAAGATGATTCTGACCTTGAAGCTTGCTGTCCAGAAGATTGACAAGCTTTGCGTTCCCTGAATTTTGAGTCTCAATAACATTAGACAAACTGACAACAGTCGTAAAAATAAACCCAAACTTACAAGCAAACGAAATCAGTTTATTACATCATACCTTGAAATATCCAGATCGAAGTCACCATCTCTAGAGTCCATTCTATGGCGACGCTCTGGCGATGGCTCGCGATCGGCGATGGCATATCATCATAATTCCATTAATGCCTCACCTTCTTCATCGACATACCTGCAAAGAAACAATCTTCTGAATTACCCAATTGAAAATCGTAAACCTTAAATTACCATCAAATCACAAGATATGAAAATAGTCGTCGAAAACCCTAGAAATTAAGCAAGGAATAGAGAACTTACGGATTGTCTTCGTAACCCATCTCAGTTGTGAATTAAGGACGAAGAACAACGATTTCCAAAACAAACGATGCAATGACAGAGAATTATACTCGAAAAGAAACAAATGACGAACAGAGAAAACCGATGTAGACAGAGAATTCTGCCGTCTCTTTCCCCTTCTGATCGACCTTACAGTAGCCTGTAGCCCGCACCGATTTATAGTTATGAGCTCTGCTGACCCGACCCGAT